TCTCTCCCTTTTCCTTTTCTCTCTCTCTCCCCCTCTCTCTCTATGTGTCTGTCTCGCATATCTTTAAAATTTTTTTTTTTATTACTTTCGCTCCTTTCCCCTCCTCTTCTTTTGTCTCACTCTGTCTTTCTATCACCCCCTTACGCCTCCTCTCTCTCCTGTTACTTCATTTTTAGTGTTGCTTTTTGCCTTAGTGCTTTTAAACATTGCAGTTATCAAATAACGAAAAACAAAAATCGTTCGATGGTTGCATGGAAGGCGTCAGTGGTAGGTTCTGCTTCTTTTCTTACCCTCAATTGTTTCTGTCTTTATGACACCCCCCTCCTCCCCCCCCCCACACACACACAAAGCACCAAAATGGTCGTTATTATGTTGGTATGCTTCTGTTTTGCGCAAACAAACAAACCAACAAAAATAAAACAACCGTAGAAGGTGGTTGTTTGGAGCTGTGGTTTTGTTTGCTCTTCCTTTCTTGTCAAATATACTGTCGTCCTGATCTCTCTCCCTTCTTTTCTTTGTACCTTACTTTCTAATTACACTTCTAATCTTCGGCACTTGTCTGGCATAATTGTGTTGCAGACTCGTACTAAAAAAATAAAACAATACCTGTATTCCTGGAGGTGTCATCTCTGACTCAGAAGTTGACATGTAATGACTCCATCTTTCACCGTCGCGAGCTACCGTTGCGCATTCTGCCATATCCAGGCCAGTGCATGTCCTTATATTGTCCATCCATGTTATTCTTTGCCTTCCTCTGGTTCTCCCGCCCCACATCTTTCCTTCAAGCACCTCTTTCACAATGGTTGTTAAAACTCCAAATTGAAATACTGGAAACCCGCTTGTTCCTCACCCCTGTCTGACCATTGTCCACTCCTCTGTTGTTTCCTCAGCCCAGGACTGCCTGGCCTACATGCAGACAGGGAGTGAGCTGATCAAGGTTCGCTCCAACAGCCGCCAGTATCATCGCTTCTTCTCCCTCAGCGGGGATGTACAGGAGATACGATGGCAGCCCACCTCCAAGAAGCCCCACAAAGCTCGGAGTGAGTGGATTTAGTTAGTTTTATTTGTTCTTGTGCCTGTGATTAAAACTATATCGTGTGTTTGTGTGTGTTTATATATATATGGTTTTCTGAGATGCAGTACCTCACTCATCCCCGTCTGTTTGCTGAGATGCAGTACCTCACTCATCCTGTGTTGGCCCTGGCAAGGAGAGTCGAAACTGCCGCTTCCACATTGATCAAAAATATTCGGTTTCTGATTGACGGTTAGAATTTAAAAAAGAACAACATCAGTCTACAGTTACTAAAACAACAACAACAACAACAGCAACAACAACAACAACAACAACAACAACAGCTGCAAAAGCAACAGTGACAGCAGCAGTAAAGCGCTGCTCCTG